AACTGTTGGACGCGGGTGGGAGTCATCACCACATTTAGTTAAACATATATATATATTCAGATTCTGGATATTATTCACATTTTAGAACAAGCAGGTAACTTATTTGAAGTTCCCCATCGCCAAATCTACAGCGGATATCACCCACTCGATCATAGTTGCAGGCATTGGCAAATCTTGAGTGAATTAATGGGTAGCTATTCGCATCTGAAATGCACCTAGTATCACTACTTGTAATACCTCTACTGCCGTCGACTGGTAATTTAAACCGTAGCCAACGATGTCTTGGAGAGCCTAGAATCAGTACCGTTTATATGATAGACAGCTTCTTAAATTGGATTTTCTGGCAGGGGGGGGGGGCGGAATAAGGACAGCGCTTTTATTTAGGAAATATACAAACTTTCCTTGTAAAGTCATTACTAATAATAATTGCTTATTTGACACAGTATAGTAGAAAAGAATCATCCATCATCATCTTTATCAGTCAAAAAGGCGAGTTATGGATTTAGTGATGCTGTGCAACTAGCACCTGTCCAGCTCACTCTGTACATCTGTGTTAAAGCCGGGAAGGTGTCCGTACAGGAGTAGCGTGTCTTAAGTAATTAGGCCAGGACAAACCACACACAAATGACCTTCAACTTTATGGCTCAACTTGGTCACGGTCAGTTGACCTTTAATTCCATAGGCTAACTTTCCTATATAGCCGACATATTTTTATCACTTTAAACGTTACTTTTCATGGATATCCATATTCTAGCAGACGCTCTGTTTATTTTAGTATATTTAACAGTATATTTACTTTCGTCTACCGACCTGAATATTCGATGCACTCTCCACCAGGATTCGAACCTGCGTCCTCATTTTCTGGAGAAATCGTCGTTAGATCCAACGTGATTTTAGCTGATCAAAAAAAATAGCCAAATACCGCCTTTTGAGCACATCCCTTCTCGTTCTAGTTCATCGATAGATCGTATCTGCTTAGTTTCGTATCAGAAACTTAAACAAAGAAATTTCTAGAGAAACTAAATATTTAGTGGCTCACAATATTTGAGTAAACGCTCCGTTTATTTTTAAAATACCAGAAAAGAGATTATTGTAGAGTTAGCATTTCCGCCCTGTAAGATGTTGCATACACCACATCAGCAACACTTAGCGTAATGAGGCTGGAGCCTTATATTTCACAACGAAATCTACAGAAATGAAAAACAAAAAACAAATCACAAGGAAAATATCACAAAAAAAAAACCAAGCAAATCTGAAAACTCTGAGGAGTAAATACAAATATTTACCTTCCTAGACCAACACAAATGACGAAGTAAACAATCAGAATTCATATCAGAATACAGACATGAAAACAAATTTTATTAGGTAAAATAAATTAAAAAGTAAACAAAAAGTCTAAATCAATAAATAAACAGAGTAAATAATAATAAACAAATTAATAAACTACGATGGCGCACATAGGCAGAAGTAAATGCAATAATAATAATCTACAACAAAGAAAAAAATAATCCATGACAAATAATGAATGAGACGTTAAAAAATAACGCTATAAATAGCTAGAAATGACCGCATTCGAATCCACATTTATTTCCACTCAATAGCCTCTCAAATAATTTGAAAGATAACAGTTAAATAAACGGTAGGATGATACGATAGACATTACTACCCCTAATGCACCATTAGACAACATATATAAATAGCCGAGTAAAATTACACCACACATGGCCTGAAGATTGCGTTTAAGCTATAATTCAGATTGGACCTAGATCTCATGTTTACTTTTATATATACGTACGTTCTGTTCCTGATATTGAGCACTTTAACCTACAAATATAGCATACCTTAAAAGTATATTTTTATATATATCTATATAGTTTAAACGTTATTTTTTACGGATATTTTTACGGATATTCATATTCGATTAGAATAGAAAAGACAGAATTGTTATCCAACTAGATCTAGCGTCATGAATATTCGAGGAATCTTGTAAGTAGAAATGTGCATACCCCGGCATTTTTCCAACCTGCATCCCCTATTCAGGACGGTCATTGAATCTTGCGTGCTTAATCGCTCGGCCATGTAGGACTTGCGGTCAAGCAGAGCCCAAATACTGTTTCTGAACACACACCTTGTGTGCCAATTCTAAAAACATCCATATCTTCTCTGTTTCGTATCCTAACGCAAAAAAGACAATTTATTTTAGGAAATGGAATAAATACGACATTTTTTTTTTTTATTTATAATTTATTTTGTTTAAATTTTATTTTGGATGGATAAATAAAATGAATAAAATAACACGGTTAACTACTTATTTTTAAAAAGTAATTAATTAAATAAAATTAAATTGAATCTATATAATACATCCTTATAGACTTTAGCAGTTACATAGACTTTAGATATGTAACTGCAGTAATCTTTTGTTTAAAGTTCTGTACGTTTTTAAGAATTTTGATACAACTAAGTAATAATAATAATAATAATAATAGTTATTATTATTATTATTATTTTATGGGACTTTACACACAGACAAAACAATCAAAGTTAATTACCCATAAATCTTGATCAAAGACAATAAAAGCAAAATGTGCTTTATTATTGACATGGCAGTGCCTGTAGATTGCAATGTATCTTTGAAGATCTTCAAAAAAGTATCAAAATCCAAGGATCTTGAAATGGAAATCTAAAAAATGTGGCATATGAGGAATCAGTAATTCCAGTTGCAGTTGGGGCACTCGAATTGATTGGAAAAGGTTCCGATAGACTCAATGAAAGAATTCCTTGTAGCTTATGCCTTAAAAAAATACAAAAAAATTACTTACAAGTACAGTTCACATATTAAGAAGAGCTTTATCGATGCAAAATGTGTGATCTTATATTCTTTTACAATAATGATCTGTGGAAAATGACATGAAGCCATTTCTGGCCTTAGGTCTTTGGCAGTGACTCGGAAGGAAATGTGTATACAAAAGATGTCAAAGAAATAATAATAATAATAATAATAATAATAATAATAATAATAATAATAATAAATATAAATGATAAATCGGCCTACTAGGAACATCCCATATACTAAAAAAGTTATATCAATTGAATCACAATTCTCGTAGAGGTCCTAAGGACCATAGTTTGGAACTGGCTATACAGAGTACAAAGCGGGAAATATAACACAGAAACAACAACAACAACAACAACAACAATAATAATAATAATACGAATAATGAAATCCGAGATATTTCGCATATGAAATTTAAGATAATCTTCGGAGCAAAGGCCTGTAAAAAGTGAAAATAATTTTGATACAGCCTAATAGATGATGCAGAGTCTCATTATTATTCATTCTCATAAATTACAGATAGCAGTAAATATCGCCGCTCAGGTACTCTCATTTGCTGATTGTGACAAAAGTTATTTGTTAAAATTTGTACCTAGTGAACGCTTTCTTAAGCGCTGATGGTCTTATTAATCAGTTTGATAGAAAATGATAAATGAAGAAAAAGAATGTGCGAAAGAATAAATGAATTTAAAATAAGCGAAATTTTAAACAAATATTCAGACAATTCCTCTTTGTAATAAAACCTGATCGTGCCATGATCGCCTGACTTGAAATATATGCGTGCATCAAATGAAGTTCCTTTTTAAATTGTAAGAGGAAAGACATTATGTGCGGATGATTCAATTAAGTTGAGGTGGATATTTCATGAAGAGAGTCAGTGAACTATTATTGTAGCAAAAAGAACCGTTCCTCCCATCTCTTGCACTACAATTATGATCCGATTTACTCATCATCATTTCAAAATTCAAACGTAGCAAAACAAGACATCTGAAGTTCAATCCTATGCCTAGAAAAAAGTGAACAATGCATGCAAATTAACATTTTCATATACTTCTAGCCAATTCATTATCGCCGATAGTTTTATATTGGATATCTATCCACCTACTTGCTTCTTTTCTTTTCTTTTCTTTCTTTCTTTCTTTCTTTCTTTCTTTCTTTCTTTCTTTCTTTTTAAATGTCCCAATGTATAACAGATAGCGGACTGGAATGAGAAATCGGAGTGCCGAGTTCGAATACCAGTCGACTTGGTTACATTCAATTACATGCAAATGGATGGCGTCCACTTCCTCCAGCTGTGAATCAAATAGTAGGAGTTCTATTAGAAAGATCATTGTTATTTTCAAAAAAGAAAAAAAAAAAGAAAAAAAGAAACATGTTAATTCAATATTCATTTGCAAAAAAAAAAAATATTCTTCAATCAAAAATTTGTTTCAGCTATAAGAAAACCACATTCTGTTTTGATATTTATTCGTTATATACCATATCTGTCTATTTAAGTCTGTTCATTATCTATCTTTATGTCAGAATTTTCTGAACACAAGAAAAGAAATCAAACCGATATTAACCAGTTGGAAGTGAGCTATTATTGGGTGATTTCACAGAGACGAAACATCTCATCGCCACCCGAAGTGCACACACTATTCTCCATGTGGCTCCCCTCATCTTTTTCTAAATGACTATTATTATTTTTATTTTTTGTTATGTTAATCAATCTTACTTTCTGTTGGGATGTTCTTTCAATATATGCCAGGGGTGGCAGGTAACTCCTATCCCGGATGATGACAATAATTTATTATATTTAGGTTTTGTCGACTTTGGTATTGAGGCCTCAATTTATTTGCTATTTTAAGCTTTAGGTTTTACGCTTATATTTGCATATATGAAGAAAAATATATACGGAGAAAACAAACAAAAATCCTTATATACAATTATGCTGTTTTAATGTTAATATGTCAACGTCGGACGTTTCGGTCTAATAAACCATCTTTAGGACATATTCATAAATTATAACATTATCAATACAACATGACAATAATTATAATGTTATAATTTTTGAATATGTCCTGAAGATGGTTTATTAGATCGAAACGTCCGACGTTGACATATTAACATTAAAACAGCATAATTGTATATAAGGATTTTTGTTTTGTTTTTCCGTATATATTTTTCTTCATACTGTCGGATCTATATCCATATATTTGCTTACATTTGCATATATATATATATATATATATATATATATATATATATATATATATATATATATATATATATGTATATATGTATATAGGAAGAAGAAGAAGAAGAAGAAGAAGATTATTATTATTATTATTATGAATCTCCCAAGAAATTGAAATCAACATGGCTGAGCGGAAGTGTATTTTCGAAGTATGACTGTTAAAAGTTCGTCTCCTGTGAGGATGAACATGATTCAGTGTAAATCTGATGATTGTGTTATTCTAATACAAATAAGAAAATGAAACTTATAGATATTAACTATTTATTTACCTGGACGCGAATTGTTTGCCAAAGCAGATTTAAACAGTTACGATTCTAAACCAGAATAAGAACGTAGATTATTTGCATATTTTACTAAATTGGCACACTTAATGAGGAAAGGGAAAATGCCCGGTATTTTCTAACCGAACGGGACTCGGTATTAATCGTATCTTTCCGAAGTCAATTGCACAACTTTCTGTTCTGTATGCTGTAGTGCTATTCTACAATTACATCAATATTAATAACAAAAGGTCAACTATTCACTGTAAGTTTATTCGAAAAAATGTTCTGCCGAATTTAATAGCTTCAATGTAGAAGAAGAAGAAAAATAAATGATATTTTTACAGATAGTGTCTATTTGTCGACCGGAAATTAAATCAGAATCATTTTGTTGATAGACTTCAGTAGACGAGTTGAGGAAATGAAAAAGTATCCTTAAAAGAACCAATGCTTTCTTTCGACTCATTAAAACTATAGTGATAATTAATTTTCTTTTTATTCATTTCGTCTGAGCTCTTTTGCAGACAATAATGAGGTCAAGGTGCTGTGTAGGTGATTAGCATTTAAAAATATAAACGAAATATAATCTGACGAATTCGTTAATGTTTCTAGCGGGCATATTGAAACGGCGCACGCGTAGAAGAAGACTAAAGCTTTAATGACGTTAAAACATTTCTTTTCTATTTCCACACACGCACAGTTAATCTAATAACTTATGAATGAAAGTAGAAATGTTTTTTGAAGAAAAAAAATATGAGAAAAAGGTTTAAAAGAAAACAAAACGACTCCGTTGACGAAAGACAAACGGTTGTGAGCAAGCAATTTAAACGAAAAAATAATGAAAAATGGTGGAACAAATGAAGCAGTTGTATCCTTTCTTCTAAAATGTTCATATGATTTTTAGAAAATACCATTGCGTTTTTTATAATATTTTTTACATATATTATATTACATATAATATAATTATAACTTAAGTTTAAGCCATTGTGTGGCGCACGATTCTGAATGCTGTCCAACACAGATCGACAGAAACTTGAAAATGAGATGTTTAAAATTTCATTCGTTTTGTCTAGATATTACACAAGCCAAAGAGCTAATGACCGACAGAATCGTAATTATTTGTGCTTCGTACATGTTTGCGTCATTCGTGTTAGCATTGGATTATTATTATTATTATTATTATTATTATTATTATTATTATTATTATCTATCACAGGTTGCAAATTACCTGGCAGATATTTTCACAGATCTAATAATTATCCATTCTCTCTTGCAGGTAAAAATACAAGCTTATCCCATGATTACTGTATGAATTCTGAGAAGAGAGTAAATTAGACGCGAGTTTAAAATGCTTAAAACATTGATAATACAGGGTGGTACGTGTTTTTGTACAGTTTTAAACAAGTAAATTTCGTTTGTTACAGTACAATTTGTGTTACTAGATTGAATCTTCTAAAGATGGGCGTGTCTATGAATGCATATAATTATATATATATATATATATATATATATATATATATATATATATATATATATATATTGTGTGTAAAGAGGCTTAGGAAGAAATCAGTGATTTTAAATGATTCTTTAAAGGAAATAAATGCTTGAAGCTGATTGGAAAAAATATTGTCCTGATGAGTTTAATGAGGACCTGTTTTTCTTTGAACGAGATATAGATAGTTTTTTTACATATTGTACAGATTGAATTCATCATTCTTACAACGATTCACCGTTTTTTACAACCAATAAATAAATTCCTAATAATTTAACAACAGCTGATCACAAAGCAAGAGTAACAATCTGCTTTCCTATGCCCCACCAAGGGAAACGTTTGTCAAATTGTACACAGAAAGATTTTATAAAAATATAAACCAAAGTTTTAGACAATGGTTTTGTGGATCAAGTTGACATGTTAATATTTTAGTGGATTGACCGTACACATTGGCTCATATAAAGTATACGTTTGTCTAGTTGGGTTTCCGCTCAAAGAAGAAAACCGAGTTCTAATTTCTATCCTTTTTGTTACTTTTACTTACGCCCCAATAACTTTTGGAAAGATATATATACACAGGCCATGGGTTTAATGTCCGTGTAGAGTGGACTTTCTATCACTAGCTGCAAACTAGTCTAAGAGTGGGGAAACGCTGAATTCAGAGAGCAATGAAAAGCGTAAACTCGAGTAGCACTGCTCAATGAATGACGAATATTTCCTGATAAGGAAACGGCTAATATGACTATTATCACTAGAAATGAAGAGGACAGATACTATGCTTTGCCACCAAACCCTTGGCCAAGGAACAAGGAAAAGCATAAACCGAATAGCACTGGTCAGTGAATACCGAATGTTTCTTGATAAGTCTATTACCACTATGATGATTCATCACATGGAAAGGACTGACCATTAACACGGATCATAAGAGCAAATTTTTAATTTTCATTGAGTATATGGATGACCATTGTATGGATACCCACGTAGACGTACAATGATTATTGTTTCCTGGGGAGATTTCTGAACAGACAAAATAATTTTCTGTATACACGAGTGCTGGAGCAGATGGATTTAGATGTTGACAGATTCGAAATTAATACGCTCTATTCTGCCGATCCACTGTCAACGAGGCTAGGCGCAAAGCTCTCAACAGAGATTACACAAGAAGTGCCAATTACGGCCTTGCGAATTTATTGAAGAACGAAAAACGATGTCGCCATGCGGACCGCCCGTTTCGCCGTCAACCTTGTCCGTCTGTTATTGTTTATCGCCGGCGAAATAAACTGCGGACTGAGATTCCTGGGGTGGATAAAAGAGCTCAAATATCGCACCAAAAGCGTTCTTCCAAAACAAAATCATAAGTTTTAGCAATGCGTGACAGATCATTTCTATTGGAAGCGAAGTAGCAAAGGATGGACAATGGCACAGGGTCGAGGAATAATGCACGAACAGGTAATCCAATTTCGGTAAATATTAATATACAGGTGATATACACCATATTTCATAGAAAATTAAAGGTAATATATAGGATATTTTTTTATTATTAAAAAGACGTAGAAGAAATACAATTCATATTCCACAAGAGATGGAATCCCATTGTTAATGTAAATTTGAAGTATTTTAAGGATAATTGCATGAGTGTTTTTAAAAAACACCTTTTTTTTAAATTATTTAACCCCAACAAAAGTGATAAAGCCACTGAGACGCATAATGTTAATGAGTGCAAAAATTAAATCTCAGAAATAAAAAGTGAGTATCACAGGCAATGAATGACCAATATTTGATTACAAGGAAGCAGCTATCACAGTGTGCGGCAGAAATACCTCCTACATATACCTCCCAGGTAATTGTAAGATGTTAGCTACAGAGTGCAGTAGAAATTCTTCCCACCTGATGGTAAGACAGTAACTAGGTGAAGACCCATTGCCACTTGTCTAAGTTCAATAGCATCGCACTGGTCACAGTTTAAAATCAGGAAGGTATTTCTGTCGCACGGTGTCACTTATGTTTTACCATCATGTCAGAGGTATTTCTGGAAGGTATTTCTGGAAGGTATTTCTGGAAGGTATATGTGGCAGGTATTTCTGCATCACCCTTTATTACTGAAAAATTTATTCTTCTATAAAATTGTTTAAATCCTGAATTATTTAGGGTTTTCTGTCATAATCCACATTCTTACCATATCA